CTAGAGGTCCGCTCCATCCTCAATTTAGGACTTTTGAGCCGGGACTGGGTCTCCGAAGCGGTCACCCCTGTATCCTGCCAAGAAGAACCTGGAGGCTCCAGCCCTGCAACCCAGGGCTGCCAGGATGGGGCGTCACGAAATCCAGATTCCCCAAAACGCTCACGTAGCGTATCCATGGTGCTGGGACCGGATGAAGCAGGATACCCCCAATCCCCTTCATCCTCCTCAGTCCATCGTCTTTCCCTCCAGCCCTGGAAAGATGCTCCCAAGCGAGGGGGTGTTGGCATCCGTGGCCCGAGGAGAACAGAGCTGTGCCACCAATCCCCCGTCCGAGCCCGTTGTCCTGGAAAACTCTCCTCCTCCGGCCGGGGCGGGGCGCTCTTGGGTTGCTTGACTTTTGGTTTCACTGCCAACTGTTCCACACTCTCCTTCACCTCCTCTATCAGTGGTTCCTCCCCCTCCACATCTCCACCACACTCCTGCTCTTCCAAGGCCGTCCCTTCTGCCATATCCCCCTTTGCTGCAAAGCCACAGGGAATCCTCACCTCTTGTGAAAAGGAACCAAGCGCTGATTTTCTCTCGGCTTGTCGTTCGTTCAGAACTGCGATAGGAAATAATCACCAGTAACACACAGAGAATCAGGGTTTACTTTGGCAATGATAAGCTTGCAGTCAAAAGTAAAGTACAAGTCGGTGTTTTGGTTCAAAGTCAGCGCTGGGTGTAATCACACCACAGCGCTATTTAACAAAAACTCAGCCCCTTAAACATACATCCGGTGATTATCAATCAAGCACCCCCCCACTCCCTTAACAGTAACAGCTGCGAGCAGCGAGGACAGCAGAATCGGAGAGGCCCAGCAACGTCATCAATCATTGCCCTGAATGCTGCTATCCAGGAACTGTTTGTGTGTTCTCTGCGGCTGCTTATCTCCACTCCTTCGTCTCCCACACACCCCATTGATGGCGAGCTCCGGCAGGACTCGACAGCCCGTTTTCACTGGCAGAGCGCTCGGGCCACCACAGGTGCCCCTGCCACGAGTGACATTGAGCTAGCCATGCCCCCTTGGTCACGCCCCCCTGGCTGCCCAAGGTCAAACACAATCCTGATGTAGCTCTCCATGAAATTGAGTTTGACACCCCTGGTATAGAGTCTCCTGTTTAAGCAGGGGGTTGGACTAGAAAATCTTCAAGGTCCCTTCCAACTCTGTTATTCTGTTATTCCTTCACTTCCCTTTCTTTTCTAGTGTGATTGCAGTGCATAATTAGGAGAATATTGTTTGATTTCTAAACACTGCATCACAAATACCACTCCACTATGTAAGTTGCTAGGGTTTACTGATTTATTATCACAGATGTTCTTTTTTTTTTTTTTAAATTTTTATTGAAAATTATTTAAAAAATACAGAAAAAAATATAATAATATGGATAGTATTGCAGAGAGTAATATAATACATATAGAGTTTTAAAGTATCAATTTTCGCCTGGAGAAAGTACAAACTTCCATTAAGCTAACTCATCAAAAGAAAGGAAGGTTTAACCAGAAAAAAAAAAAATTCTCAATCGTCATGCAGTACTCCTGGAAGTATTTACCCACGTTCACATTAAGGTTAATATTTTCGTTCTTCTTAAGATTTCTTTTTTTGCAGCCAAGCATACCATCTGTCCCAGTTCCTATATAACCCCGATTCTTGTCTATCTCGCAAAAGTCCAGTAAGCTTGTCTGCTTCTGCACAGTCCATGATCTTTGCAATTAACGTAGCCTCCGATGGGATATTTTTAGATTTCCATTCTTGCGCGAACGAGATCCTGGCTGCAATGATGATGTGGAGAGCGAGATACCAATTAGATTTGTTTAAATTCTCTGGTTTCATGCCTAGTAAAAACGTTTCCGGGTTCAAATTTATTCTACATCCTATGATTTCTAAAATCCATTTTTGAATTCTAGCCCAATATTCTTTTGCTCGGGGACAGGTCCACCAACTATGAAAGTAAGTTCCCATAGCGGCGTTGCATTTCCAGCAAACCGGAGAGGTCCCCGGGAACATCTTCGATAATCTAGCCGGGGGCAGGTGCCATCTATATAGCATTTTGTATATATTTTCCTTATAGGAAACTGACATTGTTAATTTTAAGGTTGTCCCCCAGATTTCTTCCCATTTTTCAAGTTCAATCGAGTATCCCAAATTTCTCCCCTAGGCAATCATTGAGTCTTTGATGACCTCCTCTCCAATCCAGTCCATTAAGAGGAATTGATAGAGTTTGGATAATACCTTCTCATCCTTCCCCAACAAGATCTTATCAAGTTCCTGTAGAGAATTATAAATTCCTCCTTTATTTTTATCCTGAGCTGTCCTAGATTGGATCTGATTGTATGACCACCAATCTAGCTCATAGCCTAATTCCCCCAGCATATTTCGAGATTTTACTTTGCCTGAAGGATCCAACAGAGCTTGGTAGATTAGTGGTTTATTTCTGTTGTAAAGAGTCGGGTGTGTCATTGCCTCTAAAGGGGAAAGCCAAATCGGAGTCATCAGGTAAAATTTATTTCTTATTCGATCCCATATGGTCATCAAAACCTTTCGAATAAAGTGGTCCATAAAATATTTATGTTTTTTGGGCCTTTCCTGACTCAGATAATAGTGCCACCCCTGTTGCAAATTGTGACCTTCCAAGCTAAGGATTCTCCTCCTCCTCAAGGCAATCCAGTCTCTGATCCAAGTTAAGACAGCTGCCTGATGATAAAGCTCCCATTTAGGTAGGCCAAATCCTCCCCTGGAAGGGGATTCTTGAAGCATTTTCAATTTAATCCTTGGTTTTTTATTCTGCCATACAAATCTACGTATACACTGATCTAAAGAATGAAAAAAATTTGTATCTACTAAAACTGGGGCTGTCTGAAAGAGAAAAATCCATTTAGGCAGGATATACGTCTTAACTACTGCAATTCTACCTAATAATGATAGCTGTAAACTTTTCCATCCTTCCAACATTTCTTTAGTTTGACTAAGTAGTTTTTGGTAGTTGTCTTCTTTAATGGTCGAGCATTTAGATGAAAGCCAAATTCCTAAGTATTTTAGTTTTTTGACTATCTGGATCCCTAGTTCTTCCTCTAACTGCGCTTTTTGATTCTTCGTCATATTTTTAATTAGGATCTTGGTTTTATCTTTATTTAATTTAAATCCCGCTACTTTCCCGTAAGCCTCCAATTCCTGTAGCAGGATTGGTCCCGATTCCAAAGGTTCTTCCAAGACAAATATCAAGTCGTCCGCAAAGGCTTGGAGCTTAAACTCTTCCCCTCTGTTTCTTAGCCCTCTAATTCCTTGATTTCTTCTGACCTCATTCAATAATAACTCTAGGGTTAAAATAAATAAAAGTGGAGATAATGGACATCCCTGTCTAGTACCTTTACTTATATCAATTTTTTCAGACTCCTCCCCATTAATAAGTATTTTCGCTGTCTGTTTTGCATATACTGTCCGGATTGCCCTGGTAAATCTTTCCCCGAATTCCATTTCGCTCAACTGTGCAAAGAGAAATTTCCAGCTCACTCTGTCAAAGGCTTTTTGTGCATCCACGGAGACCAGGGCCACCTGTTTATCAGAATTACACTCATAATATTCTAATATATTCATTATAGTTCTCACGTTATCTTTCAATTGTCTATGAGGTAGGAAGCCATTCTGGTCTCTGTATCACAGATGTTCTTGATTATGACTCTTATCTAGTGAAATGTTGCATTTGGGAACATTTTCTCCAAACTTTTGTGTAGTACAATGGATAATTTTTTTAAAAAACCTTATTTCTGCCAAAATAACTGCTTTTTTGCCCAGAGGTCTGGTAAATCAGGTCTTAAATCACACCTCCTCTTATTCTACTGAATATTAAACAAAATGAGAGATTACTGCAAAACTTAGTTTTGATTCTTCCCTTGATTGGGCTCACCCAGATAAAAATCTTTATTGCTGGTTAGAGTGAAGCCATACAGAACAGTTCTACGGTACTTCTCAACAAGATAGTACAAATACTTTTAATGCATTGTTTTATCTTTCCAAAACTTAATGGGTTCTTGCTGTGCATTTGATGGCCTTATAACGTGATTATTATATGGTATGTAACTGCTATTTTTGCCTGAAAACAATTGGTTGCTGTCTAAGCCTTTAAGTTAGTGAGTGAAAAAAGATAAATGGGATCTAGAGCTTAAAATAAAAAAGGAAGGTTAGGAAAATTAGTAAGTAGTTATATATTGTGGTCATATCATAAATGTAAAAATCTTGAAACCTATGTGGCAATTGTTAGAAATTTTCAACAACAAATCGTACCAGGTTAATTTTTTAAAAATTACTTTGTTACTAAATGCTACAAATGCTGGAGACATTCTTGAGTATTTCAAATGAGCATTCCATGAAATCCGATAACCAATCCAATAAATTGTGGCCTGGATGGTATAAATAATAATAATTATTATAAGTCCACAGCTTGTTTGAAAATGGTACTTAATTCATAAAACAACTGTCATTTGTCAGAAATGGTGTAGGGTCTCCTGCTTGGGGAGGGGGGTTGGACTAGATAACCTACAAGGTCCCTTCCAACTCTGTTAATCTAATCTATATTGGGCAAGTGCTATACAGAATTCAAGCCTGGGCTGACTTTGCTTCATGTGTGAATATCATTCATGGGTAGAATCAATCAGAAGTGTACAACCAGAGGGTGCTGAACTTCAGGTGATCTAGAAAAGTATTTTTTTAGAGTCTTCCAGAGTTACTGCCAAATTGTATTTTTAATCTGATTAAATAGAAGTATTGAATATTAAAGTGTAGTGTTAACTTTACTTAAGTAAGTTATATACATAGACTAAATAAAATTTGGTTTTATCTAATATAAGAATGCTACATCAGTCAAAGACTTTGAAAAAGTTGTGCATTCTAGATGAACTTGAACCCAATTAACTGTTAGTAGTCACAGTTTTATTCTCTTTGCCCTATCCCTCAAATTCCTCTCCAGGTCTGTCTACACAATACCATATAGAATCTTAAGAAACATCATGGCAGAAAGTAATCAAGCCTTCATATTTAAAATCCTTCAACACCTGTCAAACGACGAAATGAAAACATTTCTGATACTGAACAAAGAAGATATAAGCAGGTGTAAACTAGAGAATATTAATGCGGTTGATGCAACAAAATTAATAATGGCTTATTCTGAGACGCCTCTAGAATGTCTTAAGGATTTCCTGGAGGAAATTCCCAGAAAAGATCTTGTTATAAAGATCAATGATAAAATTGAAGCTGGTAAGTTGAATGATGTTTGTGTATTTTCAAATGAGACATAATTTCTTTATTAAGTTTTTACACTTACTGATTCTTTAACGATTCTATGCAGTGCACAGATTAAATCACACAGAACAATAAAACAGTGCAGTATACAGTGATAAAAAGATAATGATCAGAAGATGACACAAACTACACAACAACTAAGGCAAACCCACATTATCTAGAAGGGACCTGGGTGAAGAGCCAGGTCTTTAAATGCCAACAGGATAGGAGCAATCCATATTTTGGGGGAATTTCATTCCAGAGGGCAGATACTAAAGAAGACCAAGTGCAGTTCTGGGATCTTGTCAGATAGTATTGTTTAATACCGAAGAAACCTAGCATGCACCAATCCTACCAGATCAAATTGGCTGGGTAGATACTATGGAAAATAAGAGGATCCCACAAATAACTTATTCTATGCCTTGCAGTCCTCTGGAGGTAACAACCAGCAGCTTGAATCACATTCAGAGGCAAATGCAACCAGTGCTCCAGCAACCAGTGCAACCAGTGCTCCACAAGCTGCAACCAGTACAGTTTATGGAGCAGAAATATTAAATGAGTGTAGTGAGGCATGCCCATCCCTGCCTTCAGCTCTGCATTCTGGACCAGTCAAAGTTTCCAGATGGCCTTCAAAGGAAGCCATATATAGAGTGTATTGTAGTAGTTAAGCCACAAGGTGACCAAAATATGACTGTCTAAATGGCCTCCCAATCTAGGAGAGGGTGCAACTAGCACATCAGATGAAACTGTGCATAGGCCTTTCTGTTCATTTTATTTTTATTTATTTATTTTATTAAATTTCTATACCGCCCTTCTCCTGAAGGACTCAGGGCGGTGAACAGCCAGAAGATAAAACACAGGAAATACAAAATCTAAAATAAATTAAAACAAATTAAATAATTTAGGCTGAATTTTAAAATACCCCCATAATTAAACAGATTAAAAATTTATGTTTAAAATTTAAATTTAAAAGAGGAGATGATTTAGGCCAGGCCAGCTTGATGAAATAAAAACGTTTTAAGCGCGCGACGGAAGGTGCGAAGATCCGGGATCCTCCGTATCTCCGGGGGGAGCTCGTTCCAGATCGTTGGTGCCCCCACAGAGAAGGCTCTCCCCCTGGGGGCCGCCAGCCGACATTGTTTGGCCAACGGCACCCGGAGGAGACCCTCTCTATGGGAGCGTACTGGCCGGTGGGAGGCTATTGGTGGTAGCAGGCGGTCCCGTAGATAACCAGGTCCTAAGCCATGGAGAGCTTTAAAGGTAGTAACCAAAACCTTGAAGCGCACTCAGAAGACCACCGGGAGCCAGTGCAGCTCGCGCAGGAGAGGTGTTACATGGGAGCTCCATGTTGCTCCCATAACCACCCGCGCGACCACACTCTGCGCCAGTTGGAGCCTCCGAGTGCACCTCAAGGGGAGCCCCATGTAGAGAGCGTTACAATAGTCATCACTACTATCTACTGATTGAGTACGAATTGTGAATCCAGGATATTCCCCAGGCTGCACACCATTCTTGAATGAAATAATGCTATCCCATCCAAGATTAAAGATGGAAAATTTCCATATCTGGGTGGCCCAGATACCCATAGTTGCATATTAAGTCGGAAGCAATTCCTCCTGCACAGCCTCCAGCCTCTGGGGCAGAACTTTAACAACCTCATTTGACTGGCTCAAGGCTAAAAGATATAATTGGGTATCACCAATCTACTGATAATATTCAGTTCCAAACCAATAGATGATCTCACCCAACTATTTTGTGTAAGTATTGAATAGGAGGGAAAGAGGATAGAACCCTAAGGTATCCTACAAAAGAGGAACCTAGGAAGCAATCTCTCCCAGCTCTCCAACCAACAACTGAACCAGCCCCAAGAAAGGAAGAAAACCATACAAAATGGTGACTTCTATCCTCAGCCCATGTTCTTCCTTAGTTCAGAAAAATACCATGATTAGCAGCAATTATGCCTCAGCTGAATTGCCTCCCAATCCTTGGGAAAACCCAAGAGAGAATGACATCAGTAAGCCAAAAGACAATCAGATCACATCTCCAGTCCGGTTATGTGGAAGAAAGCCACTGAAAGCTTGCAGCAGTTCACAGGTGATAACAGACACTCTTCCTCCTTGCTTCCCCCCCCCCTCCCCAAGAAGGGATACTGTACATCCTTGCCAAGCCCAACTAAATTTCAGTATGGAGGGCAGCTTTGTTACAGATAAAATCAGCAGCCAAAGCCCAGGACCACTGAGGATGCAATAGCTATATACTGAGGATGGACACTTTCAGTAGCAGGCCCCCAGCTTCTCAGTGAGATGAATGGAAAACACATACTTTAGAAAAATCATATAGACATAGATTTGTATAGTGTTTCTACTTATTATGTAACAGTGGTGGGTTGCTCCCGGTTCGCACCGGTTCCTGCGAGCCGGTTGCGGTGACGATATGACATCACCGAACTGGTTCTCCCCTCCACCAGCACCACCACCGCCCATGTTATTCTTACCCTTTATTTGGCCCCACTCCCAATCTATTGCTGCCTCCTGAGTCCCAGCTGATGGCTAGAGGGAAAAAAACTGTAAAATATAGAAATTGTAAATTTAATTGAAATGACTAAACACTATTTAAATTTGTGAACCGGCCAAATACTCTGTTCAAAGAAAATACATTGTATGTTTGTATGTGTGTTTCTAATTATTGCTATTTATTCATATTTGTTCTCTTTTATTCTTTAAAGTTTAATAATTCATTCTTTATCTTAATATCTTTATATTTGTTTGGGGTTGCCTTTCTTGCCTTTCATCTTTTTTATTGTTCAGCAATCTTTCTCCTCAAACCTACCACCTCTCTCTTTTCTTTCCTTCTTACTTTCTCTTCCCCGCCTCTTCTTCTCCTCCCTACTTCCTCTTCCTTTCTCCTTCTCATTCTCTCTTCCTCCCTCTCTTACCCTCACTCCTACTCTAATTTCCCTTCCCTTCTCTTCCTTCCCTCTCTTCTCCTTCCTTCATCCCTCTCTATAAGCAGTCAGGGTAGCAACTGCAATACTGAAGGCGTAGTTGTTCAACCTTGGTCCAGTGAAGTTCTAGTCAGGGAAGGTGAGGTACTTTAATATTAACTTACAAAGGAGTCTCAGGTAAATTGCATTATTATTATTTAAACGGAAGCTTTTTGCAACAGATAAATGGAAACTTGCCAGCAGAAATAAACCACAGATGAGAATCAGCTTTGTTACTTGCTAGAAAGAACAGAAGGCAGAGACCACTTAGAGGAAGTTTGATGACAGGATGCGGTCTGAAAACAATTCTGTTGCAAGGGGGGCATTACTTAGAGGTAATTTAACTGTGACTTTAGCTTACAGGGCATGGATCCAGAATGAACAAAAGTTCATCATTAATATACTAATAATTAATATACTAATTTAAATACAATCCTTGTATTTAAATGAGGAACTTGGAGATCATGCTAAACATACTAAAAATATAGTGGCTCTCGTTCTAGGAACAAGGAAATGGCAAACAATTTCTGAAAATTTGCTTGGACTTGACAAGGCAGCAACAGAATAGCTGACTATTCCAGCTGACTTTATACTATTTGTCTGTCAAAATATGAGATTAAATAAATTGTCATGCAATTTTTGGAATTATTCAATCAGTAAATGTTCATGGCATTTCGCATTCATAAAAGACATTAAAACAAAAATAATTTTGATGTCTCAATTTTAGTATAGATAAATAAAAATAAATAGCAATAAGTATAAAATAATTAACAGCTCCACTCCAGCTATTGTGTATAATTCCAAATACTTTTTTTTTAATGCATTAGAGTCAAAGGCATTGAAGCATTATCAGTTGTACATGTGATGATTATTGAACGATTATTAAACGATACACACACACACACACACACACACTTTTGGCAGACAGTTTGATTAACAAAATTAAAAAGTGAAGATGTAAAATGAAGCTATTGGTTAAGAGAATTGTTTTTTAATTGTTTGAAGAGAATTCTATTAACTTCCCAAACAAAGAAGACATTATTTTAATTCTATCTTTACGGATATTTTTCAGCTTTGTAAATAGTCACTGACCTATATAATGCTATATAATTTTTTGTATATCCAAAGTTTCCCCAAAAGTGCTTTCCAAAAGACAACTGGCTTTTTTTTTTCTTTGAAAACATTTTGCTTCTCATCCAAGAAGCTCCTTCAGTTCTGTAGAACTGAACTGAAGGAGCTTCTTGGACGAGAAGCAAAATGTTTTCAAAGAAAAAAAAATAAGAAAGCCCAGTTGCCTTTCGGAAAAGCACTTTTGGGACAACCATGACTTGGATAATTGAGATATAACATTTAATTATATCCAGTGTTATTTGTTTGATATTTTGCAATAATGAAAATATTTATATTGAAGCATTATACTTTGTTGTGAAACATAGACATACAGAATAAAGGTGAAGCTCAAGATAATGTGACGTCTGAAGTAATAAATTCCTGTCCAGGAAGTAGTAACCATCCAACATATACTGGTATGTAATTGTTAATTCAAAATGGCCAATGATATGTTTGATTTAATGTTATTTTGGGTTAGCATGCAGCTGTCTCTAGAACTATATTTCCACATGTTGATTGGGTTCCACATGTTGACATGATAATGTGCCATGGATTTTGTTTCCTTAAAATTATCTCAATGTCACTAAATTATAGCTTCATAGCTAAGCAAATGAAGATGGCTTACTAACATTTACTATAAAATATGTCCAGAGCAGTAAATGGTGCAAATGAAGTGAAGCCATACACGTTTTTGCAATTTTTAAAATAACTGAGATTTATGGGTTTCTTATTTTTGCTTTAGAATTATTGTTTTGCTGACATATTGAACAATTCTCATTGTGGACCTACCAATTAGAAGTGAAGTTTGTTCATAAATTTGTTTGTATTTAAAACATTATTTAAAACATATACTTCCTTTATGTGTATCAATAACTCACTGAAATTCCAAAGGTATGGTATTGAATTCTATGAATTAACAGGTTTTCAAAGATTAGGTTATCCTACCGGTATATAGAAACTTTGCTTGTTGTGCATAGATCACCTTACACATACTTTTATTAACCAGTGATCCTTCCAGTTTGTTTTTTGCTCCTCTTTCACTCTCTCCCAAACATTCTTAGCATTTTTATTATACCGTGTTTCCCTGAAAATAAGACCCTGTATTATATTTTTTGAACCCCAAAATAAGGGCTTGGCCTTATTATCGGGGGGTCTTATTATTTTGTGGGTGCAGGAGGCGGTGAGTGTGGCCACCTCATGGCTGCTGCTGTATTGCACTGCTGTGGCAGCACAACACAGCTGCTTGTCAGCTGTTCGCTGGGGCAACCAAAGGTGGGAATCTCCCTGGTATTCTTGGTACTAATCCACCTCCCATCCATCCATTCCCCTTGCCTGCAAACTCCCACCCTGCTCCTGCCTCTCTGCCGGTCGTGCCCGGCAGCCCCAGACGCCCAAAGCCTGCGCCTGCCTGGCTCCCTTTTCCACAGCACCTGGCTCTTTATTGAGGAGGGTGGCATGTGGGGCAGGGGAGAAGCAAGATGCATGGAGTGAGGCGGGGCTCGCTCCTCTTGCCGTCTCTTCTCCCCCCCTCGCCAGGGAGGTGCGAGATGCACGTCTTACCTGCCTTGCAGCTCTGTTGCATGTCTTGCCTTTGTCTGCAGGCAAACACGTTGTAGGGTAAAACAAAACTTCTTGCGAGTTTGAGAAGTTTGATTAAACTCGTGAGGTTTTTTTTACCCTATGTGTTTGCCTGCAGACAACAACGAGACACGCAACAGAGCTGCAAGGCAGGTAAGATGGCTCAACACACACCACTGGTATCGTAACAGCAGCCTAGCTGCTGCCCTTCCCCGCCGTCTCTTTGTCGAGTGGGGGGTGGCAGGTAGGGTGGGGGAGAAGCAAGACATGTGGAGCGTGACGGGGCTCCTCTTGCCGTCTCTTCTCCCCCTCTTGCTAAGCATGGCAGGGCTTCCTGCCCTTGCCCAAATTGGATGCAATTTGGGGGTGGCAGGTGCCTCCAATTTGGGGAGGGATGGTGCTGGGGAAATACAAGATGTGCGTCTTACCTGCCTTGCAGCTCTGCCGCGTGTCTCAAAGCAAACTCTGTTGCATTGTCTGCAAGCAAACACGTTGTAGGGTAAAACCAAGAAGTTTGATTGAACTCGCGAGGTTTTTTTTTTTACCCTACAAGGTGTTTGCGTGCAGACAACGGCGAGACACATGATGGAGCTACAAGGCAGGTAAGACACATCTCGTGTCTACCCGGCCCCACCGCTCCCCACCTGCCACCCCCAAATTGCATCCAATTTGGCAGGGGCAGGAAGCCCTGCCATGCCTGGCAAGAGGGGATGAAGAGACAGCAAAAGGAGCGAGCCCTGTCTTGCTCCGTGTGTCTCGCTTCTCCTCCACCCCACCTGCCACCATCCTCGATAAAGAGCTGGGCACTGTGAAAAAGGGAGCCGGGCAGGCACGGGCTTTGGGTGTGTGAGGCTGCCGAGAGTCGCCCAGCGGAGAGGTGGGAGCAGGGCGGGAGTTTGCAAGAGATCCCTTCCCTTTTGCCTTCTCTCCCAAAAGTGCTCCTCGGGCACAGCCACTTCTGTAGCAGGAGACTCGTGCCTCGTGCCAGCCTTCCAAAAGGAGCAGCAGTTATACACAATTTTTTAACTCTTATTTTGTCCTGACCCACGTGGCCCAGTATGGTTGGGATGAAATAAGGGTAAAAAAATTGTGGATAGCTGCTGCTACAGTACCCTTCGGAAGGCCAGGTCTAGGCACATGGGGCACATTGCTTGGCCTCCTGTTGGAGAAGTGGCCGCAATCGATGGCAAAAGTGGCCGCACTTGCTGGAGGCACCGACCGGAGCGGCACCCGCAAATCAGCTGTGAATGGCGGCCTGAGTGGCTCAGCTGATCGGATTAAGGGGCCAAGAAGCCCTGAGGTGACCAGGGAAAGGAAGGGCTACCTCCTGTGCTGGCCACGGCCACCCCATCACTAAGGCTTATTTCCTTAGCGTATATTTACGCCCACCCCAAAAATCAAGCTTGGCCTTATTTTCGGGACATGTCTTATTTTCGGGGAAACAGGCTAATAGTAACAGCAATGCACGGTATGTATAAAAATGCAAGGTTAATAATATAACAGAATTATTCAATAAAGTTTATTTAAAACCTAGAAGGATGCCAAGATCTATGTTTCTTTAATTGTTAGAGCTGATTGAGAGCACTGCCCTGCGTATAGCTCCAGATCATGAAAATCAAATGCAAATATCTGTATACTCTATTATTCCTTTATTTTAGTACATAAAATAATTCCTACCTATTATTTTATAATACGTTATAATTCTTATAATGTCTAGCTGGTATGGCTAGTATGGAAATATAGGTAAAACTTTACTAATGGAGAATAAAAATACCTTCAACTAATTATTAGCATTATTTTAAACAATAATATGTGTTAAAAATTAAACCAGCAGCCTAATTATGCTCAGTGCTGAAAAACATTGACTAGAGGATCTTAATTGGACAGTTCTTTTGAATGGTAAAAAATTAAATGATTTTTAAAAAAATCTACAGTAAATTTACAGTGTAAACTTCCATACTTACTATGTTTTAGTGCACATAGTATTACTACTATTTTTACCTGTAGCGAAACAGCATTTTATGTTTCCCATTAATACAAATAAAGAGTTAATTGGCCACTTTTCAGAAGGCAGCCTTACAGTCAAAAGTACCCGGGAAGAAAGATGTAGGATAAAAGAGAGAAAGTTGATAGGTTCAGAAAAAAAGAGGAAAACCAAAAGAAAAAAAAGATTTATACATACAGACACACAAAAACATATACATATACATATATACTATAAAACAAACGCAAAAAAATTCTGGTACCTATTGCTAATCAAATATTAATAAGCATGGAAAATAGATGTGTTATGCACCTCTTTAAACAGAAACAAAGTTTATTTTCTGTTCATGCAATGTTCTGCTGATTACTAACTAAATAATTTTAATAACGAATAATTTTACTGCCTCTGAATACATGAAATAAACCCTGATTTTCAACACATTAGCCAATCTGTAAGGCTTGATTTTCATGACAACTAGAATTTTATTGCAACACTTTAAAGCTGTCATTCATTCATTTTTTCCCCACCTGTAGGTAAATACACACTTTTTGATCTGGAAGACTATGCAACAAAGAATCAAGACCAACTAATAATGCACCTAGAAGACATCCTGGAACCTGATGAATTTAATGAACTGAAAAAACAGCTGATGTGTAGTGTGCTGAATACGTTTTTTTCGTTTACTGCTCAGAAATATTACGAATTGTATATAAATGGTGAAGTGAAAGATTTTCTTGAAACTACTGCTGATAAACCAAAAAAAATACCTATGAAACTTCTTAACATTCTGTTCTCTAAGAAAAAAAAAAACCGTAAAAGAAAGGTCCAGGAACAAATGCAGAGAGAAAGCAATATTAATTTGAAAAAGAAGCGATTTGTTAATATTGATGATGATGATGACAGTGTGCCAGATAAAGTTATATTTGGAATTGAAAATGAAAAAAAAATCCCGATTCCTCCAAATCAACATAAACCTGGTAATGAAGATAGTAATGTGATAGAAGAACATGGGTTGGGTAAAGATTCAAGAATGGCCACTGAGAACAGTATGAAAAAAATATCCTGATTCCTCCAAATCAACATAAACTGGTAATGAAGATAGTAATGTGATAGAAGAACATGGATTGGGTGAAGATTCAAGAATGGCCACTGAGAACAGGTATGAAAAAAATGAAAATGAAAAAAAAATCCCGATTCCTCCAAATCAACATAAACCTGGTAATGAAGATAGTAATGTGATAGAAGAACATGGGTTGGGTGAAGATTCAAGAATGGCCACTGAGAACAGGTATGAAAAAAATGAAAATGAAAAAAAAATCCCGATTCCTCCAAATCAACATAAACCTGGTAATGAAGATAGTAATGTGATAGAAGAACATGGATTGGGTGAAGATTCAAGAATGGCCACTGAGAACAGGTATGAAAAAATGAAAATGAAAAAAAAATCCCGATTCCTCCAAATCAACATAAACCTGGTAATGAAGATAGTAATGTGATAGAAGAACATGGGATGGGTGAAGATTCAAGAATGGCCACTGAGAACAGGTATGAAAAAAATGAAAATGAAAAAAAAATCCCGATTCCTCCAAATCAACATAAACCTGGTAATGAAGATAGTAATGTGATAGAAGAACATGGATTGGGTGAAGATTCAAGAATGGCCACTGAGAACAGGTATGAAAAAAATGAAAATGAAAAAAAAATCCCGATTCCTCCAAATCAACATAAACCTGGTAATGAAGATAATAATGTGATAGAAGAACATGGGTTGGGTGAAGATTCAAGAATGGCCACTGAGAACAGGTATGAAAAAATGAAAATGAAAAAAAAATCCCGATTCCTCCAAATCAACATAAACCTGGTAATGAAGATAGTAATGTGATAGAAGAACATGGGATGGGTGAAGATTCAAGAATGGCCACTGAGAACAGGTATGAAAAAAATGAAAATGAAAAAAAAATCCCGATTCCTCCAAATCAACATAAACCTGGTAATGAAGATAGTAATGTGATAGAAGAACATGGATTGGGTGAAGATTCAAGAATGGCCACTGAGAACAGGTATGAAAAAAATGAAAATGAAAAAAAAATCCCGATTCCTCCAAATCAACATAAACCTGGTAATGAAGATAATAATGTGATAGAAGAACATGGGTTGGGTGAAGATTCAAGAATGGCCACTGAGAACAGGTATGAAAAAATGAAAATGAAAAAAAAATCCCGATTCCTCCAAATCAACATAAACCTGGTAATGAAGATAATAATGTGATAGAAGAACATGGGATGGGTGAAGATTCAAGAATGGCCACTGAGAACAGGTATGAAAAAAATGAAAATGAAAAAAAAATCCCGATTCCTCCATCAACATAAACCTGGTAATGAAGATAGTAATGTGATAGAAGAACATTGGCCAGATGAAGATTCAAGAATGGCCATTGAGAAGTGGTATGAAGACCAAATAAAAAATAAGTACAGCGAAAGAATATCTTTAAATTACATTTGCATTCATGAGCACCAAGTATATGCCTGCTTCAAAGCTCATGATGTATTACAGTTCAGATTGCCAGATGACACAGATTATCGTATTCTAGCTATTCTGCAGGAAAAAAGAGATCTTACTAATTCACGAAAACTGAAAAAGGAGGTGCGATTTGCATTGCAATTTAACATGGCTGTTCTAAATGTTCAATTTTCTGAAGTTATCTCTTCTAAAGGATTTATTTGTAACATACAAGCAGATGATTCCTTTGCTCAATATGAAACGTTTTTTAAAAATACTGTGTTTAAAATTGTGTTGCCTGTTCTAGCACTGTATAAGCGGGTAAAGTTAAATGCTTTCGATAATGCTGTATATCCTAATAAAGAAAGCAAATCTTCTTTCAGTGAGAAGTTGTAAGTGTAGCTTCAATATTCCACTGAAAATGTCCATTCATTGCTTGATTAAATTGCAAATGATAATTTGTGATTGGATGCTTGGCTGAGGGAGAATTCAAGTTTCTTTGTTGTCTCCCATCCAATTTAATTTAGTAATAAAATGACTGTTGGGAAGTAACATGTTTATAAACCAATTTAAAATTTGTTAATATTAGTTCTTAGCGATTCAAAATTTATTTTTCAATATATGTAATGTATACATTTATACAATAAATTGTATACACATTCTGAAATAACAAGTTTTTCATTTTACAAACCTTCCTTTTTCTGAATTATATATTCTGTCAACATAATCAAAATAATAATTCCATGAAAAATATATTTGGGAAAGATTACTGTAGAAGAAACTGACAATCCTTTATGTATTTACGCAGAATTTAGTCCCAATGAATTTAGTGAAGCTTACTCTTGACTAAATAGCTATAGATGTATGACTGTGGGGTCCTTGGTGCTCTCTCAGCTTGCTTGCGTTTTTGTAGACATTTCATTATCCAACTAGATAACATCATCAATGGTAGAGGGAAATGGGGATTGATCTTTTTACATACAAATAGTTTGCCCTTTCAGTGTTAGTGGGAATATTCTTGGTGTTTCTTTGTTTAGGCTGTTGTTTACTGTTTGATTGTTTGTCTAAGCGGTAATTCTTTGATTGGGATATTATTTACTGCTTGATTGTTGATCTAATATTAATCTTGGTGTTAATCTGGATGTTAATTGCTGGCAAGGAGGCATTGTAGTCTTAGTTTGTTCATTGTGTCTTTTGAATAAAAAAATACTAAATTATTATCCTCCGTTTCTTTCTTTTCATATTTTCTTTCCTAAAAATAATTCTGCTTTTTCTTCATAAACAAAAATGTGGACATTTAATGTACTTTTAAAGAATGGCATGTGAACCACTTCTACAAAATCTATTTGCAATGCCTATATTTGTAACATTTTAAAAATTGGAATCTATACTTATGAGCCGTGGTGGTGCAGTGGTTAGAATGCAGTACTGTAGACTACTTTACTTGATTGCCGGCTGCCTGCAGTTTGGCGGATCGAATTTCACTAGGCTCAAGGTTGACTCAGTCTTCCATCCTTCCGAGGTCAGTAAAATGAGGACTCAGATTGTTGGGAGCAATATGCTTGTCAACCCTGGAAGCCATCTTTTTCTATAGAGCTTCAGGGCTGCCACATTGAATGCTGGGAAAACGGGAGGGGGGATTTCAAGGAGTCAGTGGAGAATTAGCCGTAACAACATTCCTTTCTCTGGGAGTCAAGGACACTCTGCCTGCACCTGGATGGGAGTGACTGCGGGTTGTTGCCAGTTGGGATGATGAAATGATTGGGCCATGTGATGGTCTGGTGGGTGCAGGGGCTGGATCTTTTACTTTCTTTTGGGTGGGGAAAACCCGGAACTCTCAGATTCGGGTTTTCCCAGATGTGCCAATATGACACCTCTAATAAAATGGAACTTTGAGGAATCACTAGCCTCCAAGTCTTCTTTTGTTGGGGGTGTTACTTGGAACCCTGACAATGCTGACACTGTAAACTGCTTAGAGAGGTCTGTAAAGCACTGTGAAGTAGTATATAAGTCTAAGTGCTATTACTATCTGTAAAGAATTGAGGAAAGAAACAGTCACTGGGAAGGGAAAAAACAAAGAAAGTATGCCAAAAAATACCCAATACAAAAGGAGGTTCCAACCTCAAATTGGTGTGGTACACAATTACAGGAGGGATAGGGTTAGAGTTAGGGTTGCATAGCAAGGTTCCCTGCCTGAACCGCTGAAGGTTATCTCAGGATTGGCTGCGGAGTTTCCCAAATTCATGATTTTTGGAGATTTCAACTTGCCATCCCTAGTTCAGACTTCCAAAGGACTTAGGAATTCATGGCCTTCATGGGTCTCTCCCAGATCATCCCAACTCAGAAAGTGGCCTCACTCTGGACTTGGTTTTCCTTTTGGAGCAATGGCAATGTCATCTGAAAGAGCTTTTCTTAGCTCCTCTGTCATGGTCAGATCACACCTCTGTGACTTTGATGTTCTCTTGTGCTACACACACATACACAAACTTACACACACACAAGGAGGGTGGACACATTGGATCACATTCCTTTGCGACTGATGGACCCAATTGGGTTTTTGTGGATGTGAGGGCCTAGGTTCGTGATGGCGAATCTATGGCACACGTGCCACAGGTGGCACACGGAGCCATATTAGTGGGCATGCCAGCTCAGCTCTTGGACGCATGCGCGCACCGGCCAGCTGATTTTCGGGCCTTCTGGGCCCACCAAAAATAGGGAAACAGGCTGTTTCCTGCCTCTGGAAGGCTGGGGGGTTGGGGAAGGCCCATTTTTCTTTCTTACCTGTCTCCAGTCTTCTCTATCTGGGAAGGGCAAAAAAAGCCTTTCCCACTCCCTTGGAGGCCCTACGGAGGCTGAAAGGGCCCATTTCCTGAGTCCCGATGGGACAGGAAGTGACTTTTTTTTGCTGTCCCACCAGGCATTGGGAAATGGACCGTTTCAGGACTTTGGAGGACCAGGCCATCATGTGCCAGGAGCGGGGGGGGTTTGTGCATGCATGTGTGTGGGCACGTGTGCGCGTGACCCTCCCCCGCCCCCCCTCTCCTGGCACGTGATGGCAAAAAGGTTAACCATCACTGGCCTAGGTGGAGAACAACAGACTGAACTCTGGTAAGACGAAGTGGTAGGGCATACCTCTGCATCCGGGAGCTTATCATCTTTAGTCTTGGATAGAGCTGCACCAACCCAGACAAACCCAGCGGGTATTCTGGGGGTCTTCTTAGAATCATGACTCCTACTTGAAGAGCGGGTGGCAGTTGTGACTAGGAGGGCTCATTTTCTCAATTAATGTTGTGCACTAGTTGCACCGTTTCCTGAATAGGGAGGCTGTCTATTTAGTCATTTGTGCCCTAGCCATCTCCTGTTTGGACTATCACAATGCATTCTATGTGGGGCTGTTCTTAAAAAGTATCCGGAAGCTTCAGCTGGTACAGAATACAACTACACAGGAAACTTTGGTACATGTAATCCTCTTCTGCGTGAGCTGCATTGGGTGCTAATCTGCTTCCAGATCCAATTCAATCAGGTGTTGATTATGACTTTTAAAGCCCTGCATGGCATGGGGCCTGGTTACCTAAAGAACTGTCTTCATCCTTTTACATCAGCCCATCCCAGGCAGGAAAGATAAGTTGCAGACCCATTTGGCCAAATAATTCCAACTGGTGGGGTCCAGAAAAGGAGCCTTCTCTACTGATACCCCGATCCTGTGGGACATTTCCCCAGACCTGAAGTGGCCTCCCTGCTCTCTTGGCCTTTTGTAAAAAGTACAAATATGGTTCTGCGACCTTGCTTGAGGCAAACAAAGAAATATGCAGCTGTGGGGCTGGTTAGTGCCCTGAAAAATCCCCCTCTATTAATTAAATTTTAACATTCCTTGTTTCTCTTAAATTTTATATATTTTGTGCTTTTAATATTTGACTTTTAAGACTTTAAGACTTTTAAGATTTGGGAAAATCTTCTGCGCATGCCCAAGATGGCAGTCCGGCTTTAGCTCGCTGTGGTAGAGATGGGGTATTTTGGCTTTTGAGGGACTCCGGGGGTCATTTTTTAACCATCTAGGACCCCCTGCTCAGCAAGCGATGCCTGTGGCCAGTTGGTTGAGAGCTTTTGCGCTCTCTAATGTGCCGGTAACAGCGGGGCACCGACTCTCGAAGAGATAGCTGTTCCGCAGTCGCCGTGAGAAGGGTGGCATCCGCGGCCTATGGGTGGTGGCGCTGGCGGTGAGGCAGCGAAACGGGAGGCTTTCATGACAAGATGCCCACCGGTACGATGGCTGGGGCGGCGGCTGCGGTGGAGGCACTGGCGTCGTCGTGGGCTGCATCCCCCCGCATCAGAACAGTGGCACTGTGGACGCCGGGTGGAAGTAGGTGGGCGTCAAACGAAGCGAGGACTATCGAAGATGTGGCTGTTGGTGATGTCCACGGTGATGCCGACGCCGACGCCGTTGCAGCAGCTAGCTGATGGGATGGCTGGAGTCGTGTGTTAATAGCCGAGGAAGAGCACTATGAGGTGGGAGCCTCCATCATTGAAATTTTAGACCCTGGGAGTTCCGGGCCGCCATAGGGCCTTGGGGTAACTCCCAAAATTTAGTTCCTTATGGTGAGGCCTCCTTTATAAACACCATGGGAGGATAAGACTGGGCATAGAAAGGGTGTTGGAAGGCCTGGGGGGGGATAAAGAGGGGTGAGAGGCTGAGGGAGTGGTTACTGTGTTGCCTCGGACAACCCTCCCCCCCTGGCTTGAGCCACTATTAGGCCCCATGACCATCATGTTCGCCCTGCCGGTTTCTGCTCGATGGAGGTGGCCCCACCTGTTTTCCATCTATTCCCTCTCTGATACGCTCGCCTTTATGAACACTGTGGACAGTTTATTCTCTTCTGGAGACTTTGGACCTGGCTCTGTTTGTCATCCAGCACGCTGGCTGTATGGAAAATGGCAGCTTACGGGAGGATAGACGGAGCCGGTTTCTATCATAGTTTCACCACCGATGGGATGTACCATCTTCTCCATGGCCAGTTGGCCAACCATCGTGAGAGGCTGGTTTGGAGGATTACCCCCGAGTTGGTTGGAACATTTGGACTCCGCCACTGCCGTGAGAGGACAGTGGAGATTCTCCGGCTTATGGTCAACCTGCCTTGGCTTCCAGGACATTTTGGACTATCATAGTGGATCCCTTGGCCATACCATATCATTACCTCAGAGCTTTAGATGTATTTAAGGTCTCAGCTTCTTGCGCTGCAAGACTCCCCCCTCTCGCAGGCCTGGCCCTCCACGTTATCGAAGGCCTACCTCAATGATGGGTTTTGGTACCCAGAGAGATGGCATGCTGCGAAGAGGGGGTTGAGTGGTTTTTTATGTAAATTTTTGGTTAAACTTTTAAGGGGTCCCGGGGGGGAGGGTAAGATTGGAATTAGGGTAGTGGGTACGGGGGATAACCCACCAAGGGGAGGGCTGGGCCTTGCCAAGATGCACGGTGGGGGGGGTGAGGGACCCGGGGTCAAGGGGGGGGGTCGAGCTTGTCCAGATTGTGTTTCTACCATCAGTACTGTGAGTGGGAGGGGTAGATATGGCAGGAGCAGGAAGCCATATCATGTTAAAAGAGTACGTGCCCGCTGTCTATGAGCGGTGGCGTGCTCCGGCCCCCAAGGCTCCATTCATTCTCCAGGTTGCACAGGCCCGGGCCTTCGGCTGAT